GAAAATACTATCCAAACTAAAAAGAAGGCTTTATATTTTGTTAGGTATCCATAATAATGTTCAGGATTCATGAATTTACTTACAAAAACAGTTTTGACACCTACATAAGTTGATTTGTAGATCTGTTGCCATGCTATCCAACATGGGATTTTGACTATTTATTTATTTATTTGGTTGGTTGTGGGGCTTGAACTCTGGGCTTGGGCGCTGTCCTTCAGCTCTTCAGCTCAAGGCGAGTGCTCTACCACTTGAGCCACAGAACCACTTCCGGTTTTCTAGTGGTGTATTGGAGATAAGAGTCTTATGGACTTTCCTGCCCCGGCTGGCTTTGAACCTTGATCCTCAGATCTCAGCCTCCTGAGTAGCTAGGATTACAGGCGTGAGCCACTGGCGCCCGGCCAACATTTTATTTTTTTGTCCCTCATGGGGCTTGAACTCAGGGCCTGGGTGCTGTCCCTAAGCTTTTTTGCTCAAGGCTAGCATTCTATCCCTTTGAGCCACAGCTCCATTTCTGGTTTTCTGGTGGTTAATTGGAGATAAGAGTCTCACTGGCTTTCCTGCTGGGGCTAACTTTGAACCATGATCCTCAAATCTCAGCCTCCCTAGTAGCTAGGATTACAGGTGTGAGCCACCAGCACCTGGCTTACTTGCCTTTTTTTGAAATATAAAAAAAAAGTAAGATGTTTTGGTAGAGGGGCTTTTTGATAATTTATTTTCAACTGTTCTTTTTGTATGCACTTTTTATTGTTATTGTACAAGAGATATACAGAAGGGTTGCAGTAATGTAAGTCAGATAAAGAGTACATTTCTTTGAACAGTGTTAACCTTTTCCTCACTTCCAGTTTTTCCCTCATCCCCATCCTCAAGTTATGCAGTTCATTTTCAACATAGTGTCTAGTGAGTATCACTGATTCATTTGTTCACCCTGTCTCACCATTTTTGTACCCCCATTTACCCTCCCAAAGGCATAAACAAGACAAAAGGAAAACAAAACAGCAACAAAGGGAAAAACCTCTTGTTTCCACACCTGGAATTCATTTTGATAAATATTATCTTATGCGATCAGATGCACATATGTGTTAAGGCTTTGTATTCCTCTCTTAAGACTGTCATCCTTGGGCTGGGAAGGTGGCTCAGTGGTAGAGTGCTTGCCTTGCATGCCTGAGGCCCTGGGTTCGATTCCTCAGCACCACATAAACAAAAAGAAAAAAGCCGGAAGTGGCGCTGTGGCTCAAGTGGTAGAGCGCTAGCCTTTAGCTGAAGAACTGAGGGACAGTGCCCAGGTCCAGAGTTCAGGCCCCACAACCGGACCCCCCCCCCCCAAAAAAAAAGACTGTGATCCTTTGGTCTCACTGTGTGTGAATGCCTAGAGATCTGTGTAATCTATCATATCCCAGTGTTTTTTTTTTAAAATCAGTTTGTTTACTTGTAGATTTATAGGCACATTCTAGCTAATATAAATGAGGGAAACCATGCAATGTATGTTTCTTTGGGTCTGGCTTATTTTACTTTATTTAATTTTTTCAAAGTTTTTCCATTTCCTTATGAATGGTACAAGATCATTCTTTCTGATGGATGAGTAGAATTCTATATTATATATATATCTATATACTATATCTGGGTTGATTCCATATCTTGGCTGTAAGGGTTGCTGAAAGGACACCAACATGCAATTCAGGCAGAAGAGAGTTTATTAGGAGAATCACACTACTGGCCTGCACCAGAGGTAGGTGTGCAGAGAGAGAACTAGAGAGAGATTATATAGGGAAAGGTGAGGAGGAGGTGTGGCCCTAGTAGATGCAGAAATGACCTCAGAGACTGGGGTCCTTTTGCTGACACACAGTCACATGATTGACAGGTGATTAAAGATACAGGTGATTACTGGTTTCTGGCAGGTGCTGTCTGGTAAGGCTACTTGCTATCCTTCATGGAGAGTAGGTAGGAGGGATGGGGTTCTCCCATTGTTGTTGGTAAACAACAATGCAGGGAAGGAACATGGTTGTTCTGGTGGCTGTAGTGTGGCCTGGTTTGTGGTCAGTTGGATAAATGCCCAGGAATGGAATTGCTTTGTCATAGGGAAGCTCTATGTTTAGTCTTTTGAGGAATCTTCATACTGCTTTCCAGAGTGAACAAGTTTACATTCTCACCAACAGTGTAATAGAGTTCCCCTTTAGGCACATCCCTGTCAGCATGTTATTGTTAGTTTTCTTGATAATGGCCATTCTAATTGGGATGAGGTGTAATCTCAGTGTTGTTTTAATTTACATTTCTTTGATGGCCAGAAAAATAAACCCTCAAAGAAACATCAGCCCAATTAATTAATAGGCTGAGGACTTAGAGAGACTTCTTAGAAGAAGTAAAGAATGGCCAATGAGTTGAAATATAATTTATATCTTGTATTAAACAAGCATCCTTTTCATCCAAATTGTAGGTTCTTAATAACAGAGCTTTTGATATTTGGAAACAGCAGTCAGATGTTGTATGTTGTAAAAACTCTATTATGTTTAAGTATGTTTTCTGAATTCGATCTGGAGAATTTTATAGTGGAGGTAATAAATGCACTTAATTTTTTTAACATTTATTGTAAAGGTGATGAACTGGGGGATTACAGTTACACAAGTAAGGTAATGAGTACATTTCTTTTTAAACACTGTTACTGACTCCCTCATTTTCTCCTACTTACCACTGCCCAGACTGCACTGCAAGGCAGGTGCTCTAACCACCAAACTATACCTCTAGCCCTGTGAGGTGACATTTAATGAAATTAACTGAATACATGACTTACTGGTCATATGAAAACTTCATCTTACTACATTGAATAGCTTCTAATATATACACTTAAATTATATTCAGCATGTATTTTTCTATTTGTATACACAAAAGTTAGCTAAGAAAAATTAAAGTTACTAGAATGTTAATTATCATCTTAATACAAATATATGTTTAGTAAAACTTTGATTAGCCAGAATGTTTATGGAATGAAATATGGTAGGTGTATAATCAGATATCCCTTTTCTTTCTTTTCTCATTTAATAAATACCAACCGTAGGTAAGATGTAGTATAATTTGGCTTTCATAATATATATAGGATACGTCTAGAAAATTAGTTGTAATTATTTGAAGGTTTTGTAAATTTCATTTGTAGGTTTTATTGCTTTAATCAAGTTAATGTTATATATAATTGAATCTTTGGTTTAGAGTTTTATAGTGAAAGAACTTCATTGTTTCTAGTAGAGATGTAAATAGTGGTAGGTATGCTGACCATACATTTTCATCCTCAAAGGTTACTTTTGAGTAATTTGCTGATGTCAGCTTGTTTTTGTTTCCTTCACTTTTAAAAACATAGGTTAATTGGGCTCATATTGAAATTTTACTTTGTTAAAATATTTACAGTAAAATTAAATATTTGGTCTCACTGCCTTTTTGGTATGTGTGTTGAAATCCAGTAGCCTTGGTATATAAATATTGTGGGATCAGTATACAGAAACATGTATGGTCCATTATTTGCTCGATGATCTCCTGATATTATCATTCAATATGGGCTTCATTTTCTATAGTCCAAATTAAGCTGCAAAAAACACTACCAATTTTTAGTAACACTATACTGTATTTTCATTCATTGTAAAGCATAAAGAAAGCAAAACAAGTTTCTTCTCTACTTCTTAAATAATCAGTCATAAGAACAAAATGTTTCACATGTATACATTTTAAAAATTAGCCATAATTTTATATTAAAATGGATTTATATAATCACCTATCTCAATTTAAAAAAAAGTGGGAGAAGAGATGGGTTAGGAAGGATGGGTGACAATGTTGTCAGACACCTTGTATTCATATACTGTTTTGTAGAATGGGAACTTCTTTGTACAACTACTTAAAGATAATAATAAAAAAGTTTAAAAAATTAGCCATAATTTTATATTAAAAAAGATTTGTTGCTATGTTAGAGACTGGATTAAGATAAAACAATAATAAAAATACTAAATTATTATCACATGACATTTAATTTGCTTTCTTGTTGAGAGCAAATGTAGTTGCTGTATTAGAATCGATGATTCTGAGATTTTATGGCTTTTGCAAAGAATTCCATGAATGACATCCTTATAGTCTGTATATTCTCTCAGTGGCATCATTGCTTGTAGGACCATTTGATTAGATAATTCAAATCTAATGCTTTTCTTAAACATTGGTAGATTGCTAATATTTGTAGCTGAAATCGTCTTTAGATGAGAGTTTAAGGGTCAAGGTCAAGCTTCAGATCTGAAATTTAGCATTACTGGCTTTATTTTACATTGTAAGTGCTTAATGCTTGTCTTTTTTAAAGTGTACATGTAGGAATACAATCAAAGCGATTAAGTGTTCTAAAACATTAGGATTCATCTATATTTTTAAATAATATGAGCTTAAAAGGAAAGATAGCCTAAAACAAATGCATTTTGATTCTTTTATTTAGTATTTGAAAATTTTCTTTACTATATGTTTAAAGTACTATAATTTTTTTCACTATTTTTGGAATAGTGAGCCGAATATCAGTATCCTTTTGTATGTATGAACAGCATGGGGTGTTGATGTGTATTGGTGTTTTTAAGGGAAGCTAAATAAATTAATTTTTTTAATTTTCATTTTTGATTGGGCAAGAAGTCTCCCTCCTCTGCATAAAAAAAAATTATCATGGTGGGTGGGAAGGTGGCTCAGTGGTAGAGTGCTTGCCCTGGTTTTGATTCCTCAACACCACATAAGCAGAAACAGCCGGAAGTGGCACTGTGGCTCAAGTGGTAGAGCACTAGCCTCGAGCTGAAGGGCTGAGGGACAGTGCCCAGGACCAGAGTTCAGGCCTCACAACCTACCAAAAAAAAATTATCACATAACAATAAATGAAATATACATTTAAACAGTTTAACTTAACAGAGGTTGCCATTAGTGCTCTAGGCTAATATATTATTGCTGTTTATTAATTGGTTGATTATTGATATGTGCCTAAATGTCATTACCTTGTTTCTGCAGCTACAGAACCTTGGCCAGAAAATGCTACATTATATCAGCAACTGAAAGGTATGTTCTTGTTCATAATTAAAAATGACTTTGTATCAAAATATATTTATTATCACAAATGTAGAAACAGTAGCTAATACAATTTACTGCAAAGAGAACTCAAAACATAAAAAAGGGTTTCCCTTGAATAATTTGTCTAGGAGGTTTTGCCTAAACTTATATCTGCCAGGGTAAACCAACTATTCATGGTGTATAAGGTCCTTAGTTTATTATTGACTCATTATATTGGCTGCTGTAGGCAGTGTAAAATGATGTGGTTGCAGGAGCAGTTGGCAGATTTACTGCACCAATAGCTGAGACAGCAGATTTTTGAAGTCCTGTGGTAAAGTGGGCTCTCAGTAAAAAGGAACTGTTAAAATGTATAGGCTAGGATAGTTCAGGCTCCCTTTAGCAGCTCTTCATATATCATCAGATCACATTATGGACCCCATTTGGGGCTCAGCAGCCTGCTACAGTTGTCAGAAGACTGCAAAGTAATGAAGACTAATAGGCAGCAGCCCTAGTCTTCTAAGCATGGAATTTTTATTGCAGCAAACTTGTCATCTTTCTTTTGTGTGACAGATCTAGACACACTGTGCAATATTAACTGGAAGCTGGTTTTATATGATTGTGAATGCTTTTACTTTTAGAGAGATTTGAGCAGATACTATGTTAATTTTAATGAAAAGGGGAATGTTTTTTGAAAATTTAAAATTGAATTTGCTTTTAAATGAGAAAATTTAATTATAGATTTCTGATAAAATGAAGTGGTCAAATAGATAAAATACCCTATTTTCATTATTATTTCCATGATAGCTTTATCAAAATTATTATGCCATGTCAATATAGAACTGCAGATTAGAGTACGGTATACCATTTCTTCTAAAAGTGGAAATAACATTTAAAATAAAACAATATTTTGCTTGTTTAGCTGTTGCACTTTTACTCAGATCTTTCATTGAATTTTTACAGGGGAACAAATTTTGCTTTCTGATAATGCAGCTTCTCTTGCTGTGCAGGTAAATATGTAAGTTATGTAACACTTTGTATCCTCTAGGCTATATCATTTTGAGATGCATTTTTTTCCCTTGCAGAAAGTCAGATACTATATGTTAGCATTTTTCTGGGTTACTTCGTATTTTCAGTATAACATTACTTCTCTGTGAACTGTAATTTTAATATGAACATTATTCAGTTATTGTCTTTGTATAAAAATCTTATTCATTCTTTAAAAAAACATTTGTAAGTGCTAGGCACATTCTGTGTCTTAGCTGTTGTTTTGCATTTTGGATATTTGGGGTAATAGTTTCAGTATTTTTTAGTTTATTTGTAAAAACTTACTTATTGAATATTTTTTAGCAGTCATTCTGCTTTTTTGTATCTATTTTAGTCTTAATCCCATTTAATAATCCCATTTGATAATCCCATTTGAAGTAGCTATGTTCTTTTCTAGTTACTCTTTATATGTAGTAATTTTACATGTGTGTTTATTATCCCCAAACCACTTACTGAATGAAATAGCTCTTCAAGTTGTATATCACAGTTGTATAAGCCAACAGAGATTATTGGCTCTATAAACTTCACCAAGGCATTGTAGGATACTTGAGGGATTGCTTACTTATTTTAAAAAGTAAATGTTGATGTGTATTATAGGACTATAGTTCTACAAACATTTTATATATTTAGCTGCTATTTACTTAGTTTATGTGGTTTAATTCACAAAGATTTTATTGTTAAGCACCTAAAAGATAATTCAAAGAGAACTCTAAAACATGACATCTATTGGAGGTAAGACTGAGAGCTGAGTGAGGACAAGAAGAAAGGGAAGGAAGGAAATTACCAAGTTTCTGTTGTGTGGTAGGCATACTATTACGTGCTTAATTTTAAGTTATCTCTTACTTTTTTAAAATTTAATCTTGTGTTTCTAACTGTCTGATACTTTCAGTGATAGTATAGCATTCAGTCTATCTTTGTTTTAAGGCAGGGTGAAAAAGAAAAAAGAAATGTGCTTGGCTAACAATTTATTAGTATGAAAGAAATGAGTTTGGATAATGATTTATTAGTTTGACTATAAGTATCTTTAAATATCTTTTAGCTTCATTTTATATCATATATATTATTGTAAAGATACTGTACAGAGGAGTTACATTTACATGAGTAAGGTAATGAGTACATTTCCTTTTTTTTTTTTTTTTTTGTCCAGTCGTGGGGCCTGAACTCTGGGCCTGGGGCTGTCCCTCAGCTCTTCAGCTCAAGGCTAGCACTCTACCACTTGAGCCACAGCACCACTTCCGGCTTTTTTCTTTTTGCTTATGTGGTACTGAGGAATCGAACCCAGGGCCTCATGCATACAAGGCAAGTGCTCTACCACTGAGCCAACTTCCCAGCCCCAAGTACATTTCCTTTTGAGCATTGTTTACCCCCTCCTTTGTTTTTCCCCTACCATTCCTTCCCACCCCCCCAGTTCGTTTTCAACATAGTGTCTTGTACATCTCATTGTTAAAGTGGCTCAGCCTGTATCCTTATTTCAGCATTTTGTTATTTCCCTTCCTCTCCCCAAATTAGAAAAATGTACATACAAGATGCAGGACACCGGAATCAAATACAGTAACAACAGAGGTTATACCATGGGGGAAGAATATACAATAGAAACAAAAAAAAATCACATAGTACATTATAAGTACATTAAAAGCAACAGCAAAAAAGATAAAATCTCTTGTGTCCCTATCTTGGGGTTCATTTCACTTAGCATCAGCTTTTATGGTTATAATGTACATAACTCTTGACTTTTTCTGCTTGTCCTAGACGTATACTGGTTATTTCAGATAAGGGAAACCATGGGACCTATGTTTTTTGGACCTGGCTTACTTCACTTAATATAATTTTTTCCAACTCTTTCCATTTCCTAACAAATGGGGCGGTGTCATTCTTTCTGATGGAGGCATAGAATTCCACTGTATGTGTGTGTGTGTGTGTGTGTGTGTGTGTGTGTGTGTATGTATGTATGTATGTGTATGCACACACACATATTCCACATTTTCTTGATCCAGTCATCTACTGAAGGGCATCTGGGTTGGTTCCATATCTTAACTATGGTGAATAATGCTGTAATGAACATGGTTGTGCTGGTAGCTTTAGTATGACCTTGTTTGTGATCATTTTGGTAAATGCCTAAGGTAAATGCCCCAAAGTGGGATTGCTGGGTCATAGGCTCTATGTGGAGTCTTTTGAGGAACCTCCATACTGCTTTCCAAAGTGGTTGAACAAGTTTATATTCCCACCAACAATGCAATAGGGTTCCCTTTGGCCACATCTACTCCATCATCTGTTGTTATTAGATTTCTTTTTTTTTAATTTAATTTTATTTTATTTGTGAACATACTGCAAATACATGGGCAGGATAATGCGTACATTTCTTACCAAGCATTGCAGCCTCCTCCTTTGGTTTACCCTTCACATCCCTTCCCAGTGTTATTAGATTTCTTGATTATAGCCATTCTATAATCAAGTGAGGTGGAATCTCAATGTTGTTTTGATTTGCATTTCTTTTATGGCTAGAGAAGTTGAGCATTTTTTCACGTCTATTGGCCATTCTTATTTCCTCTTCAGAGAAGTCTCTCTTTAAGTCTTTAGCCCACTTATTAATGGGGCGGTGGTTTCTTTGAGGATTTGTTGTTGGGGGATTTAATTTTTTTGAGTTCTAAGTGTATTTTTATTTTATATCTTTTATCCAGAATATAAATTATGTTTCTGGCAGCATTTTAACTATGTTTTCATATTATGTTAACTTTCGTGAGCAGAAATTTTGAATTTTATGCAATAGATAATGCTTTTATACTGCCTTTATTAATCTCCCCCTATATTTGGTGAAAGGAATGTAATTTAAGCTTTCAAACATTAGCAATGTAGTTGGCTAACACATAGAATGCACTTGGCAAATGTTTGGTTTTGGAAAGTAATCTTGCCTGATCAACAACAGCACAGAGAAATTACTTGCTGTGTTTTAAAACAATACTTTCTTTTCTTGAGTTTACATCACTATATTAAGATGTATGTAAGGAAAATTTATTTATTTATTTATTTGGTGCCTGTCCTGGGGCTTGAACTTAGGGTTTGGCGCTGCCCCTGACCTTTTTTCCTTAAGGCTAGCACTTTACCACTTGAGCTAGAAATCCACTTCTAGCTTTTTGGTAGTAAATTGGAAATAAGTGTCTGAAGGACTTTCTTGCCTGGGCTGGTTTTGAACCATGATCCTCAGGTCTTAGCCTCCTGAGTAGCTAGGATTACAGGTGTGAGCGCCTGCTGCCCAGTTTAATTAAATTTTTTATATTTGCTGTTCAAGTTGGATAGTTAAAAAGCTGCATATTTCCTCTTTAGACCCTGTTATAATATTACGCTTATAATATTTGTCAATCTTGTATCTTTGAAAAGACAGCTTCAGGGCGTTACTAATACTTTACTTGAAACATTAGTTCTTAATTTTCAATTCTTCTTAAATTGCCATTTTGGGAATAACTTCTTAGGATTTGACAAAAGTCTAGAACATTTTTCTAGAAAATATTTCATTGCATACACAGAAAAAAAAACCCAGGGTGTTCTGCATATGGATTCAGTAGGCCTGTAGACCTCCTTTCTGATATGAACTAAATAATAGCAGTTTAGAAAGTAATGAAGTAATTTTCACACAATAGGAAAGTACTTTGGGTAGAAATATATTTTTGGTTCTCAGATGGAGGGAATTTTGTTTCCTGAAGATGTGACCATGTTTTGATACTTTGGTTGTCAGAATTCCTGGGAGAATTCCATCTGTTGGGTAGACACCTAGGATGCTGCTAAATTCCCATAATACAGAGAACAGTTTTCTAGAACATTGAGTTATCCAGCCTGATATGCGAATAGTGGCAAGGTTAAAACCTGGAATAGATGTTTTAAGAAGTTTCATTACAAAGCAAGGTATTAGTATATTAACAATTAAAAAAGTTTACATTTTAAGAATTTTGGACAAGGGAAGACAAAGACCATCTTATTAATTTTCTTTCTCACCACAGTTTCTCAAGTTGCAACTAAAAATAAAACCGGGGAAAGGATATTTTATTTATGTATTTATTTTTTTAACTTCTGTGTATAGTTTAAGGTATTTATGAACAAAAAATGGTAGTGTTTGCATGGGTATGTTTTAGGACAAGGTAAAAATGTTGGAGAAACAAACAAGTGAACTAGAAAAAACATTAAGGATATGTTAATAAAAGGCATAGTACAAAATTGCCAAGATTGAACTTAAATGAGGGTTAGGATTTTAATATTTTTTAATTGTAAAAATACTGTACAGAGGGGTTACAGTTACATGTGTAAGGTAATGAGTACATTTCTTATCAAGCATTGTTACCTCTTCCTTTGTTTTTCCCCTACCAACCCTTCTCTCCCCACCTCCCCAACTCCTCCCTCCCCTCCACCTGAACTTGTAAAGTTCGTTTTCAACGTGGTATCTTGGAAAAAGATATTTTAAAATAATAGAATTTTGCTTAACTATTTCAATTTTTTTTATCCTACATATGTCACTTAGATGATAAATTAACTAGCATATATTAAAAGGCTTGGTTTTTCTTCAATATTCTTTGGTGTGACAGCTGATAGTAGCCATGACTATAAATGTGACTTTTCCACATATCTGATGTAAACTTTATAGAGTAATATTCTTCTATTTAGCGGGCCAGCATCTGTTTAGAGGAATTGGTTAAAGGCTTCATGTTCGTTGCATAAAATTGGTCAAAGCAGTATGACAGGTATTCATGAAGTAGATATTTTCTAGAGGATAGTAACTATCAGATATTTTAATTGTTTGTTAAGCATCAAGAAATGTAAGTTTTACTTACCATATAGACTTGGTATTTATTATACTCATGAAGTAACTAAGTTAGATTAAAAAAAAGTTTCAGTGTGAAAGAGAACATTTTCCCCCCTTTGCAGTGCCTAGTTAAATTTACTTTATCTCCAAGTATTGGTTTTAACTGAAATTTTT